ATGCTACGTTAAATATTATGAAATTGTCAAAGTGGATGTAAAAAATCACTTCTACGTAATACGTTCAGCTAAGATATTTTAAAGGCTCGCGTACATGAGGACGGGGTACAGTGCATCGCATTGCAAAAATTTACACTGGTAGCATACCGTGCCAGCTCGCAATGGATTGTTTTGCGATATAAAATTTGACGGCTATCTTTTTTAAATTGCGAATTATACGCAAAAATTTACTTGCTAGCCGTTGATGAGGTTCGTTACGATCCGACAAACGATCTAATTCATTTTGATCCGACCCGACCCGACCCGACTCGACCCGATCAGATCTAATCCGAGCCGGTCCGATCTGATCCGTCCCGATCCATTCCGAGGTAACTCGATGCAACCCGATTAGTCCCGAGGCGCGAGCTTTAAAAGAACGATATGGTTCGTTTTGATCCTGTCTCGTGAACTGCGGGCTAAAACAAGGATTTGGTTTCAAAACCATTGCTAGTAAACTAAATGGAAAATATTATGGGTGTAAACTTTCTCTACGATGTATGCGTCTATCCATATGTTTTATGTTATCGTATATGTTTACATTTAATTTTATGTTTTATCCTTACGATTACTAGTGAAATCGAATGGATTTATTTCGTGAACATTATAACAAACATGGTTGATTAAGCTCTCCATTTATCTCGTTCTCATTCTAACGAAGGAAAGGACAGTTCTACTTTTTCACTCCGTAAAGATGAATTCGTCGTTTTTGCTATAGGAGAGAACGCTATTATTATCGTTAGCTATCGATGAGAAAATTGGTAAAAATTTTGAACGATAGACCTTTACGATGACAACTATATGGTTGGATTCACTTTATACCTTTAAACGACAACAGTCAGTTATCAACTGTTGAATAAATATTTAACAATAACTGCAATTAATAACTTTCAGTATCATTGACTTCTATGTATTAGTAGATAAAGATAATTCATACATTTTAATAAATATATGTTTTTTGAATTTATTTTTAAAACCTTCTTTGTTGTGGGTATGCATCAGAATTAATTATTCAAAATTCATAGAAGAAATTATTATTTACAATCTCCTTTCTTGTATTTACTTTTAGAACCTATTACTATACATATAATTTTATTAAACTCGCATGATATTTTTAATATAAACATGAGACTGCGGATGTTTATAATATGTATAAAATATTAGGCTGATAAAATTTGCAATTTTCTTTTTTTTTCCAATAGAATTTGTTAAAATTAAAAAAAGGTTACAATTTTTTTGATAATTTTTCAATTCCTCTGCGCTTAACTTGGGTTATTTTGGATTAAACTATGTGGGGAGGTAAAGTTTAAAAAACAAAAAGAAATATAAGGAAGCTAATAGAAAACAGGCGATATGTGCAGAACATGCATTACGCAAAACATATCAAATAAAAAATGTAAAATAATTTTTATTTTTATTTATTTATTTTGCAAAATATACATTTTTTTAGAACCGTCTAATGACAAAACAAATTTCTGTCTAGGTCCTACTTCTTTATGCATAAAATATGCATTTGCATAAACATCCGCAATCTAGTTATGATTTTTCATTTTTGTCAAAGTTATGTTTAACATAAGCTTATCTTTCTCGTATATTTGAACATTATTTTTCGCTGTTAAATATGCAATAAAACTATTTTTATTATTTCTTTATTATTAGCATTTTGATGGCCTCACGTATTCATCATTTTCATACGTAACTTTATACTTTATTTATATTTACTTACAATTTGAGAATTGGTAATTTTGTTATTTCAAATATTCTCGCAGTAATTTTAGTTTGATACACAAAAAATATATAAAATTACAAGAGCTACCAATTTAATAAAATACGTGGCCGTCAAACTGTTAAATTACATTTACAACTGTAATTTGCCTTTTTAATGTTATATGGACTAAGATTAAAAAAGAAATTGTTATTCTGCAGTTATTTAATTATTTTTATTTTTATCTCTTTTGTTTCTAACTAGTTATTTCTCCTCTCTATAAGATATGTTTCTTTTATCTATTATACTCTAAAATCTTTTCTTATGTAAAAATAAATAAGTGCCAGTGTTTCTTTTATTATATACAATTTGTAAAGTACATTAACCCTTCTTTGCATTATGTTGCAAATCTGTTACATAAATTCCTTATATTTTTTAAACAGTTGTAGCTATAAATTCTATATCATATAATGTTGCAAATTTTTAATATTATATAGTTTTATTTGAAATGAAAAGCAGTATTTCTTTTCAAAATTAAAAAGTTCATGCAACGAAGGGTTAAAAGTTAACCCTTGAACAGCAGAGCCTGAGTCAAATGTGACCCAAACTCAGAACACATATACAAGGATATCAATTTAAAGTTAAATGTATAATTTTTAAAGGAAAGAATTTCATATGTTAGAAGAATAATTTTTAAAGGAACATTGTGAAATTTAAAAAATGAAAATAATATACAAAATTAAATTGCTCTCTTTACGGTCATTCGAGGGTTAATTGAGAAAGGAAAATCAGTGCATCGTTTTAATATTTTACTTGTTCATCGTCAAAGGATCATTTACTGTCATTCGAGCGTATAAAGTGAATCCCATTCATATACAACGTGAACTATTTAATTATATTACGCATGAAATAGAAAATTTCATATGATTCTAACAGCCTTTCTGGGATCGATACGATCATTTCTTCGAGCAATTATCCTTAAATTTGACAATATTTAATCCCCCATCGAGAATCTTTATGCTCATTTCAATCTTAACACACGAACGAGCAACCTTAACGCCTATGGACTAAGCCTAAACATCTATTTATGTTTCGTAATGTGAAGCACATCATTTTAATAATATTCGTCTCTTGGTATGTTTCAGCGTTCGTGGCCTCGTTCATTAAACTTTGATAAGTTCGAACCACTTTCTTCATCATTGTCGAACGACAAATGTTTTCATTTATCTCGTATTCTACGTCGTTTCATCTTTTTTAGGGCTACTTTACAAAAGTGAACCGCATTATGTTTATCTTTGTCAAATCCTTATGATATTTTTCATTGATATTCTTCTCCTCGTGAACTCGTTTGATGAATTGTGAAACTAACTTAAAAGAAAAAAGAAAGAAAAAATTGATATTCCAATGGAGGAAGTAAATCCTATACATTTAATTAAATTAAAAAAATTTTTCTTATCTTTCTTTTTGAACTTCTTGGACATTATTTTCTGAGATATATCGCTTATCTTAAAATTCACTCGTTTATTAAAACGTTCGCCTTAAACTATCCATGTATTCACCAGAGTGTTACATTTCTCTATGTATTTTTCTTTTCAAATGTGTTTCATCGAACACAGACAATATTGATAAAATGTTTGCAGGAACTGGTTAGACGATGTCTAAAAGCAACTGCCGTTCTAAATAATCAATCGTTTCGTGTGTATATTTAAATTTGTGGCAAAGAAATCGTGCTAAGTGAAAGCGGTAGTGAGAGGGAACACGAAACGCTGAAGTCCACGTTCCCTCTAACGATAAGCTGCGCATAATCTTTTCCCTCACACACAGAATCTTTTGAAATTATTAAATTTCTATCGTTTGAAATTATTTCTCGCGCGTTATTTAAAATTCTGTGCTTAGAGAGGAAAACAGGTCCGCGCAGGTGGAAAAGAAATTAGAGGGAACATCGCTGTGGATTAATAACAATTCTATAACAGACAGTAATACTGTGTCGTTATCAAAGACGGTTCAGTGAAACAATTCCTAATTCGTTTGTAAATTCTTCTTATCAGAGGAACGATAATTTTTCCTCAGCAAAGAAGTTTTCCCATTAAAGCATCGGATTTTCTCGTAAGAATTTTCCATTGAAATTGTTTACAGCTATGATTTAATATTCGAAGATATGTGCAGTACATCATGCGATGATAGATATTTTAGTATGAAATTATTTACTTAAGTGTATTACTGGCAAGTGAAGGGGCACCAAGGCCTGACTAAAAATATTATGCAAGTGTCCGTAAGGGTGTTTGCTGGCTATAACAAGGCCGCTCCATGCTACGTGATTTATTTGATTATTTTCAAACGTCACTCGTTGTCGAAGCACGAATTTCCATCCTTTTTCTCCCGAATGAAGTAATCAAGAATGACAATTAATCTAAACTTTATACAGTTTTTTATACTCGAGTCAGACTTATATCTTGGCGATTTGAACACAATGAAGTCTCGAATGAAATTGCTTCTTTTTTTATTTTATATAATAATCGTGAACAATCGAAGCCGTGAAGCAGCCTGCGGGTATCTTTGATAATGTCGACTTACTTTGACCTCTGTTAAATTTTTTTTATAAAGATTCTTTGAACGAAATTGCACGAACAACAAATTATACAAAATTGTACAATTTGAATTGAAATGTTAAAAAACAATTACACTTTTCTTACAAAATGTGTCGCACTAAATTTCTTGCAAACTAGATTAGTTCGTGCTTCGAAACGAAAGAAACACCCGTACGACCTGAAAGAAAGATCCTGAAGTGAATCGAGAATTGAACGACGATTATAAGAAGGCAGCCAATTATTAGGTCCCTGTTTTTTCTTTCTTTTTTTTCTCTCTATTTGATACAAATTAAACGTCGAATCTCTTCGCTCTGGCTAACTTGAAACACGCTCAGTTGATTTTCAATGAAAGTCGGAATATGTTCTTTTACTTCGAAGATCAAAAGAAACGTTTCATTGATCGATCACCCAACACCACGGCGCTCCTTTCGTGGTTAATGTTCTCAACAACTTCCTCGATTCGTTCGTTCGAATTTTTCTTTCGAACAATACGGTCTTTTCACAATAATCGCAACCGAGTCCACGAAACAATAGTCAATCAATCGAGAAGAAGTCCTCGCACTGTTCTCGGCTGCATATCAACTGAATTGTTCTTTATAAATGCGACAATTTCACTGGTTCGCCTTATGGATACCCTTGCACAAAGCTACCCTTGCACAAATAAAGCAAACTTCGTAGAAAGAAAGAGCACTTGCTGCGTGCACAATTAGTCGGAACTGATTCTCTAAAGAGGTGGCTGACGGTGCGCCAGATATTTTAAACCAGACTGTGTTCACGAGAATCGTAACGATGCGTGTAGAGAATTGATGAATTAGTTCCCGGCGATGTCGATGACGATGGCGTGTTCGAGCACGGTGATGACGATGATTGGGCCTTCTTCGAGGCCGACAATACCTAGGTATTGTGGCCCTGTTTACGAATTTTATTCTCCAGGTTGGAGGTTGGTCGGCCAACGAGGTCCTCCAGTTCGTCAGGCGTCAAAACCGTGAAGTCTCTGTTGAGCAAATTTATGTAATATTATTTTTATATTTTCAAATCGTTTTTTTCTATACTCATTTTCAACAATTTTTAATTTTGGAATGAAGATGAGAGAAAGTAGGGTAAAATGGGGTACCTGATTTTGTACCTAAAAGAGTACAAAAGTTTTAAACTATTAAAATATTTTTGTTTAACAAAAATATATCTATTATAAGATTTCAGATTTTTAAAAAGTGCCAAAATACCCGATTGTGCTCTCTGGTTTGCAATTATAGTACTTTTTTTTAATTATTCTAGCACTTCTCATCAATATAATCTTCATATGCCTATACTTGGCATATAATATATTCTACCCATTTCTCCATAATTAATTATTCAAATAGAAGTTCTATAAAAGAATAAAATTGCGTTTAAATCAGTTTAGTAATTTTCAGTTTTTGTTTAATTGAAAATTAGTTTTCGTGCTTCATTTTATTTCTGTCTACTTTGTTGAAATATTAGCTCCATTGTCTTAGTCAGCAAATAAATGAGACATTGTAGTTCGTCCTTACCTATGTTGAGCAAGAAGCATATCTATGCTAGTTACACTTCTTTGATGCGTTCCATCCTTCTGGGCAGCCTTTTGTTTCTTTATGCACAAAGCTCTGAGTGGCGCGAGAAGTACGCCAACCACTAGTAAACTGCATCCGACAGCAATAAGGGCGGTCGAGTTTTGTGCAGCTTCGGCTCCGGGTGCAAGCTGCACCAGGCCTACTACCAATACCACGGCGCCGAGCAGCAATGACCCAACTACCACGTGTAACGAATTGACCTTCGAAAATATTGAGAAACCCCAATCAATAATCAGCTACATCGTTTACATCCAATACTATTTATCCATAAAGATATCATATTTTAATAACCCTTCTAGCTTTGTTACAGTTTTCTTTCTTTTCGTTGTAATTGTATTATTCTATAGATAAAATAATTGAACCGATGGTTAAAAAATAATATTTTTATAGAAGTTTGTTTTTAATTACTGCTGAGTGTTTCCTCTTTTTTATTTTACTTTTTGAGGCACTTGAAATAAAAATGTTCTATGTTTGAAAAATAGTAATTTTTCATTATTTTCATCAAAAAATCATATTCAAATTGAAAAATATCTGGAAATATCTTGAAAATATTTGGGAAACCATATTACTTTTTCTTGATCTATTATTATCTTTAAACCTGTTAGCAAGGAGAAGACTGTTGTTTAAGTATAAAAGAAGAGTAACTAAATTTAGTGTTGGCTGTCGGGGAATAATGTTTATAAAATGGCGTAGAATGAACGGGTAGAAATCCAAGGAGGGTAAATTCCAAACACGACTACGCGCTTTACGTACACATAGTTATACTCTGCTTCTATGTACTAAACGCCCACGTGTTTTCAATGACGTCATTCTACACCCTGCTCCGTTGCGAGAAATATTCCATTTCCAGCGTGACGGTTTGTAAAGCAGCCACGGCGGGGCTCATTTTAAATCGAACAATTATGCGAATGAAGATTCGTTGTTAATTCAGCCGAGTTATTCTGAGATCATCGGAGATATATTTTCATGGATATTATTCCACCCACGTTAAAGCAATTACTGATATGCCAATAGCATCGGTAGTTACTTCAGTAACATTGGCTTGGGTTAAACTTTATTCTGAGGTATCATTTTTCTTTAACTTCTTTTTTACAGTTTGATAGTATTCTATAAATGTAGACGAGGTAGGACTCTCTCCATGGTCCGCCGTCTGAGGGTTAATTGGTGAGATGGGGCCTAACATACCTAAATTATTCTATTTATTTATCATTAATTATTGGAAACAATAAATTAATTATTTTAAAAATGCGGGTCAAATTAATTAAAAGGTTTGACGATAGTGATTTGCAAGATTTATTGAATAATCAAGATCCAAATCAAGATTTTAAAACTTCATTCGATTTTACATTAAAAATACACAGAAAACATTCAAAAAGGAAGTAAGTAGATTGGAAAAAGGGAAGAGGCGCGAATTTAATTTACACATCTAATGTAAAACCGATATTGGTGAAATGAGTATTGATGAAAATATTTTCGATAATTTCATTGTCTCGGTGAATTCGTAGTGCCGACGAAACTCGGTGTCGCTGAGAACAGTGTGGGTGAAATGATTGTCAGTGATCTCTCAGGGTAACTGAATTCACCCTTCACCCTTACACATTGTCTGATCATCAGAGGTATGCGCAGATTTCATCGGGTTGAAATCAGATTATTACTACGGCATAATCGGAATTCCAACATTTCTGAATGTGAATTTCGAGCTTCAATTTTTCTTAAAATCTCCCTCTGAAACTATAAAACTTGTATGTCTAAGAGGGTACATCTACGTTGTCAAGATCTACGATTTGTCTCACAGAGCGTAGATCTACGGTTAATTGCCGTACATTATCGAATAAGGTTTTTTCGAGGAAATTAAGTGCTAGAAGACATGAAAGAGAAATAAAGCTTACTCGGGCCTAAGGTTAAAATTCCTGATGCATGGTCGCTTTTACAGATATGCCTTCTCCAACTCTTTGTTTCAACCTTCACCTTTCGGAGTTTAGTAGAAAATAACGGACCTTGTAAGCGTGTTATACCGTACTGGATTCTTCTTACTCTCTTTGCGCATGTTATATCGATCAGTGCTTTTATCAGTATCGAGTAATAAGTGTCGAATGCTTTTGATAGTGTAAATAATAGGGTTGAAATTGCTTGGTTAGCACTATTCATTTAATTGAAAAAACCAATTGAAGAAACTGCAGAACGTTATAACGTTACGTTAGAAATAAAAGGAACATTAGAAATCGTCTCTTGAACACGTTCGACCACTCGAGTAGATTGAACGCTTTTTGTAGGTTGACGCAAAGTGTAATTCTTAGAAGGTAAAAGTGTTTAACGTTAAAGTGACGCTAATTACAGGGATATTTACTAAGTTCTCAAAGTTCGTAAATAATTCTTTGATGGATCCTCGAGTTAACAGAATTATACTCTAAACTCTCTATGTAATTTAATAATGCAATAATTTAATAATGTTCTTGAATACCGCGACCGTCAAAATAAAAGTAACTATATCTCATTCGACGTACTATTATAATGAATTATTAAAATTATTATTTGCTATTTAAAATTATTAGTGTGATCTTAATGATATTTGAAATACATCATTCGATACTGACATTGATACTTGTATTTTTCGAACTTTTTAATAAATAACGACCGCCAAGTAAAATCTTCACAACACTACTCAGGTTGATGAGCTTGGCAATAAAAAAATCATTGAGATCGTAGGTTGATATCTTTTATAAATTGTCACTATGAAATCTTTTTTTAATATTTTCCACTTATTAATTGCTACTTCTTACCTTGCCACAGAAGTAGTACTCCGGTGGTTCCTTGTCCATTAACGCTAGTACCGCTTCACTCTCAGTTAAGGGGCTGCCAGGTTGACTACTTGTTATCCTGGCTCCTTTTTCTTGATAATAAGTTTTGTGGAAGACCTTCACCGAGGGCACTGGCAATGCCGTGATCATCTTCCAAAGAAAATAAAGAAAGCTCCATTAGTCATAATTAATCAAACATCACGATTATTCATAATTAAAATTAATTTTAAAAAGACCTCTGTCAGTATTAATCTTGAAGAGAGAAGTAAAAATGAGTAATTTTTTGAAATTCATTTAAGATGAGAAAAATAATTATTACGCGATCTCTCTTAGAATTCTGTTCAAAAAATGTGAACTACTTTTCTATGTTTCATTTCTACTTCGCTAGATTCTCAAGTTCTGAAATTGTTGTCCTCGTAGAACTTTTCCCAGCCTCATTCCGTGTTTCTCGAACAACGTCTAGTAAATGTAAGGTTGAGCTGATTGGGAAAACAAGGGAAGCCCCTGGTCGCTGCGACTTAACGATAAAACAGCAATAACGCGATCTCCCCTACGGTTGGTTGTTCGATCTCAAAGATAGGTTGCAACCCGTCCTTGGCTTTAATTTCTCCAACATCACCTTTTCTGCAGTGTTTATACGATAAAGAAACCATGTATGTGGCGTTCACAGTATGGCGACGAATTATTGTTCCCTTACACGTATCGTCCTTGTCCTTCCATGATTTTTTTTTTTTAAATTGAAGATCGCGGGTTTCTACGTTCTCGTCTCGATCGATGAGAGAAGAAGGTGTTGAAGGGGAAGGATTCATGTTGAAGAGAAGTTGTGTTTTCAATACGACTAATGATCCTGTCCTTGGCACAGCTTTAAACACGTTCTTATAGAAGCATTGCCTAGTTTTTTTTTATATACGATGTACTTTAAGTGACTGATACAGTAAAATTGGATTTATTGACGATAACGAAGGATTTATACTGTTTCGTGGATTACTTCAATGATTTTGTGATTCAATAGGATAAATTGTAATTCTGGAGACCTGATTGCTATAATTGAAGAATTCTATGCAAAACCTGTTTAGCTTCATTTTTTAATAAAAAATTGATTTTTTTTTTTTAAATACATACGCTACTGGCGACGTATGTTGGACAACTTTTTATTGGTACTCTGAAGCTTTAAATAACAGAGTTGAACGATTTTTGCATTGAGCTTTTTAATTATTGTAATCAGAGTAAACGCTCGATAATTCCTCGCATTTCGAACATTGTAAGGGGGGCACTTATTTTATACCTTCTTTTTTAGTTTATTTGAGTGTATACTATTAATTTTGATCAGTAACTATGCCAATAAATAACCAAGCTACGCGCAGGATAATTTTTATTTTGCAATAAAAAAAAAAATGAAATCGAAAGAGAAAAGAGTTAGGTTGAAAGGGTTAATACACGATGGTGGGCAATGGTTGTAGCAGTAGCAATGATATTGATGACGGTGGTGGTGGTGGAAATGCTGGTGCCGGTGGCCTAGATACGCTGTTGGGGCCGACGGCCGTTGCACCTCGGTTATCGAACAGCAGAGCTTGCACGGAGTGCAGCTGCACCGCTATAAAACTATTGCAGACCTCTTTTTGGTCTCCTCCTTGATTTCCTCTCGGAATCGATCGGTTGCATTCAACGTACAACAGATAGGACGATTTCAAGCTTCATCTATCGTCTTATCGATGATTTAACTGATACAATGTCGCGTCCAAAGCCAGTAGAAAGGGTTAAATCTTTAGGTGAAAGTGTATTGTTTTACGAGCTCCTATAATCCTTGGACAGCGGAGCTCGGGTCAATCGTGACTCAAACTTACGAAACATGTACAAGGATAGTAACATAAAATTAAATGTTTCATATATTGGAAGAAGAATTTTTAAAGGAAAAATGTAAAATTTAGAAAATGAAAATAATATGGAATACAATATTAAATTAAAGTTGGGGTTCTCTCCATGGTCCGTCGTCCAAGGACGGCATTCGAATGTCGAATTACAAATATTTCATTTTTAGAGTATGATAAGGAATCATTGAAACCATTATCCAATGGTGATTTAATTTCGCATTTTCTCCTACAAAAGTTTATATTTTCTACCCAAACAAAGACCCCGAAACAATTCACTTAACTCTTTGTTCACTTAATATTTCTGAGAAACAGTAAATACAGTATACTAATGGAGTCCTGGAAAGCAGAATATTAAAACAACTTTTTTCATTTCAAGTACAAGAATAATAAAGCACATCATATTTGTTTGTAGAAACCATTTCAACTACATTTGGAAAATTCCAAAATGTTATTGGAATACTGTGAAATTTCTAGAGGTAGGAAAGGGTTGATTTATCCGTTCGATACGACTGAAAGAAACTGTCCGTCGTATTTCATCGTTAATCTTATAAAAGGATAATTCTGAAAGTGTTAATGATAAACACAATCTCGCGTGCCCATAGTTACGTTCATGAAGGACGAGAGATGAACGACACGCGATCCAATATGCACGTATCCGTGCAGCTTATATTACTCAGAGTTATACAAGCAGGGTATTCAACTGCACTACGAATTCCAAGCAGGTCTCCTAACACTGGACATCTAGAAAGAAATTACTTGTATATCCTACCGTTCTGATTAGAGGGGGTCTAAGGGAGGGCTACAGCCATGTGTCCCACTTCCTAGGAGGACCCCTTTCCAAACCATTCATTTATTACTACAAAAAATTCCAAACTTTAGGATTCATTATAATTTGACAAATCTTAGACCCGATTGTTGTTGCTTAGACCTAGTTTTATTCGTTACACATGAACTAAAAAAAAAAAACGAGGCTACGAAAGAAATCGTACGAGCGTAACGATTCGAGGGAACCTAGATTCGCAAGGCAGAACTTTCGTCTGTGCAACTTTCACGGCCCTTTGTTTAAGAGGTTTGCTCGTCAATGGCTGTACGGTTATAAACGAAATTCCAAGGCCTTCAATTGTCACCGGTGCCTCGGTAACTTCGATTCACCGACACGAACCGTGTCGACGTCTTGCTTTTCCAGCCGGAATCGTACAAGTTTTGCAACGGAGTCGGTTACGTGCACGCCGAAAGGGTAACCTTTATTGCTCGGAAAGGCGTAAAGTAGGACAGTGGCCTGATTCCTGGAGTCATGGCTGTAGCTGCATGTGCACCGACCAGTGTAGAGGAACGGCTATAGACAGACCGAATGTGCAACCAGTACCGCGTTCTCGTTCCTTGGATATTTGCCAAAAGCTCGCGGGTATTCCCGCTTCGTTGTAGACGGAAACGAAAAAGGAAACGGAAAAAACATACGATTAATATAATGCACGCGTTGCGCTAACACAGTGGACTCGTCTGTTTTCCACGTCTCCGCGTAACAGGTCCCACTTTTCTTTTTCTTTTTTGTCGTTCGATCCATGAAAACGGAGATTATTTTCATTTCCTAGAAATCGAGGAATATCGAGGAGGGTTTCCAGAATTTCTGTGTTTTGTTAATACACCGGACGACGATTGGTGTCAAGGGAGAGCGAGAAGTTTTATGCTCGAACAGAAATGTAAATAATTAGAGGAAGAACTATTCAACGCGTGGAACAGTTATTGGATCAATGAGACGCGCCACAATGATTTGAACAAAAATTCAGCATTTTTCAAAAACACTGGAATTAAGATGAATTATCAATGATGAATTTTTTTTTTTAAATTGATTATTTAGCTAAACTATGAAGGAAAATAGCTCGAGACGTGTTTATACAAAGAAATGTAATAAAAATCATCGGTAAGGGCCGATGACCCGCGAGTTTTCTTCTTTTTTTTCAAAATTCAACCGGCTGTCTAATCGAAGTAATCGTAGAAGGTGCAGTCTAAACGATAAAAGAAAATAGCTTGGGAAGTATTTATGCAAATACGCGCCTTTGCATGGTGCATGCAATTCACTTTTATTGAAGGTGGCACGACATCAAGGTGGTTCACCCTTTCGCGGAAGATACCAACTTATAGGGGTGTTACGTGTGCTACGTGAAAATGAGCGATCCTCCTTGGTTACCACCATAAAACGGTACCCCTAAATGAATTTCAACGAAATCTCATGATTTTCACGTCTAATTTGCCGCGTCTCGAAGAAATATTTTCGCCTCTGATGTCGCTGGAAACGCGATTATTATAAAGCTCTCTCATCGCAGATAAAAAAAAAAGATCAAACGTATCGCTTGATTTTCACAGAGACCTAATTATCGATCGCGTGAAATTTATAATTCCTCGCGAAGATCTATGGACGTATCCCGGGCCAGAGATTGCTCGTACGTTGACTCACGATTTCCAGCCGCACCAAATGCAGTTGCAACTTCGCCTGGCTATGTTCCAGCGCTACCTAGCTATATATCTATTTCCATAAATTCGGTAATCGAGGTCAGTGTACCTCCAGCTTTGACGTGTCTATTTGCAGAATCATTTTAACACGCCTTGCTTTCACCGAACTTTGGCCCCGTCGAATTAACAGATATTCGGTAACAAGAATTCTGTGATTCTCCTTATACGTATACACGCGGTACGTGGCTCCTCGATAGCTAAGCACAGCGTTGTAAACCTCGAATCATTGGATTTCCATTATTTTAAGTTCATCGATTTTATCGCCTGGAAGTAGCCTTCGACGCAGTACAAAGAATAAGGAGGAAAATTAGCAGACAGGATGTGTGTAACGTTCGATTAAGCGAATTCGATCGAAACAATCGTAGAAATAGTTCGTTAAAATCTCGAGAATCGATAAATGGGTCACCGTAGGTCGTCGAGCAATATCTTACGTATCCACGATGAGTACTCGATCGTCAACTGGGTCATTCGACTGTGGCTTAAATATGAGACAGAAGTGATAGAAATCGTCGGAAATCGTTGATTCGAATGATCGATATCCATTTCGTGTCACTGCATTCTCATCGTGGATACTTGTATAACGTTCACCTTAATTGATCATAATAAACAAATACCACACGTGTACGTGGTTTCTGAAATTCAAATAACCGCGTTGCGTAATTAAATAAAGAATTTCAACGAATCGTTTGAATATTAAACTCTTCGAGTTAAGAAAATGTCGCGCAAGACGGTGCCACGAAATGACGCGTATTTACATCGCTCGACTTGCGGCGTGATAGTTTTTCATCCCTCTTAAAGAATTCACTACTTGTAGCTAGTTTACAACCGTCGATCAATTACATTGGAATGGAATTTAGAAGGTTGCCACAATTTACGATCATTGATAAACATCCGGTGTTGGAATATAAGAGGTTTGACTTACTTTGCTGGTTTATTTTCGACAAGCCTTCAGTGAAATGCCGCGTCGATTCAGCAGCAGAATGCCGTGATAGTGGAACTGTTTCTCACGACGAACAGAACATCGAGCTTCTCGAGTTGAAGAAAATTGCACCGCGAACCCGAGACTATTACGCTTCCGTAAGAGATCGCTTTCGACAGGGTGGTGGTCCCGCGAATACTGAGCCTCCAGAGCTTTGTATCTTGGTCGATAAACCACCCTGTCGGCCACCCACTCAGCTCTCTCGCTAAAGGTACCATCACACTTGCGCTCACGTGACTCCGGTACTGCGTTTATTCACACGATGGATGCTCCTCTTGTGTAGTTTAGTTAGTTAATTTTTTACTTTCCACCAAGGGACGCGCCGTTTTTTTTGCTGTTAGATATATGGCCGCTTAAGGGACATTTTCTTCTTCCTATATTGCCCAACGAGCACGTGGATTACCATTTAGCGTTTTAATTAAATTTTGTGCCTTTTATTCTTTTTAGTCTTATTATTTGTCCTTCTGGTTCTTCATGATTCGAATTTTTTATTAAATTCTGCGTCCTTTATTCTTATTGGTTCTTTCTCTATTCATTTGTTTGTCCTTCTGCCTTTAATAATATGATTTTTATTAAACTCTCTGTCCTTCATTTTCCTTTTGATCTCCTTTCCATTCATTTAGATGGTTTACAACTAAATGATTCTTTTTTTAATGAAAATATTATTATAAGAACCAATGTGCCGCGTTTTTTCCGCTCCGTGGAAATCGTAAGGAGCTGGTGATTTTCTTTCGTCAGGGAAGGATAAGAATGGATGAATAGCACGAAGAGCATTGTTGTGAATTGCGTCTTAGGGAGTGCAGGAAAGAATGTAACTATTGCATTATGGTGAAAACAGATCCATCATTATCGTAACAGCAAGTGTTACATAAAATGTATTTCTTTACTCAATAGCACCATGAAATTATTGAAGCTTCTGATACTAATTATTGGTAATGTCACTGTAAAATGAAGTTATAAATTAACAGTATGTTCGTTATGTAATGAACATTAGAAGCTTTCATAGCTTCGCTTTACTATTGAATAAAGCTCTGTTTTCAACATTATGTAATAGCGTTCGTTGCATTCTTCCTTATAACAGTAGTGCAACAGGGACGGGGGGTCAGAAAAGTCTATTGGCCTCTTATTAAGAAATTAAAAGCCTACCTTCCGAAAGAAGGTAAAAGATCTTCCTTTAAGAGAACGTGGGAGTAAATGAAAATGAATGAGAATAGTTTTATTCTCTTTATTATACTTGCGCTCTTGTATTCCGATCTATCTACAACACGTGTACTTTTCCTCATTAACACACCTTTAACCTTTCTTCTCGACCACTGACATTTTCATAACGAGAGTCAGATCATTTGAAAATATTTTCAAATACATAATAGTTCTTCCTGCTTCCAGGTATGATACTTAAGAAAGTCTTATTATTGTCAATCTGACAATTTCTGATGCTTATTATTCAAAAGTTGAAGATGATTTATAACATTTTTTGTTCAATTTTATCACCCGACTTCCGGGTGTAAGCTGTGTTTAACAGAAAGATGCTCCCAACGTTTTCATTAACTTTAGATGTTTTTCAATTGTAACAACAATAAACCTACAAAATTTTTTAGAGATTTAAATTATAAGTTTTCAATGTTTCGGTTCTTTTTTTCAGCTGTTTGATATTTTACATATATCATTCATATCATCTGCATTAAACTTTGCAATAAATTTTATTTATCTAATCAGATATAATGTGTCAGTTCTACCTGTAAATTTCTCAACTATTCTTGACTATAATGCAAAATAATTGTTTAAAACGTAAACGAATGGAATTCTATTTAGCCGAGATTTAAACTTTTCGCACAATGTTTGTATACAAAAAACGGGTGCAGAACTGTTCCATGCATGTTCGAATAAGACGCAGATTTTATATTGTTCGTGGTAGTTAGGGTGATTATTTTTAGAGCATGAAGCGCATAGGTGTTACTCTATCGAGAAAATATCGATGAGACCTTCTTCGCAAGGTTGGCCGTCTCTTCGTCGAAGCTTAAAGCGATGCACTAAACGGCAATAATTAATTTCATGATTAACCTTGTACAATTAACCACTAATAAGGTCTTATCTAACAATTTCAATCCGTTCGTATCTGTTCTTACATGTCGGATTATGCAACCTATTATTGAAGACCTTGGTACAAAATCCGGATAAGTCGAATTTTTGAAAGATATGGGAAATTGAATAAAACTGTGTTAATACGACTTATAAGTAATTATACTCATATTTTGGATTTAGCAAGACAGTAGTATGATACTTCTTGCTTCTCATTGACATAAAATTGAAGAATTTTAGAATTTTGGAATTCTGGTTTTCTAGAATTTAAAATATCTAAAATTGCACCAATTAATCGACAATTCGTATTAAAATATATACATAAAACTTCAACAAGTACTATTTTATTAAAATTTGTACATATTCGGTTTTTGCACCGGGCTCCTCAATGCTGGAAAAATTCGAAATTTGATATTTCAAATGGCGTAATTCGATAATGTATTCCTTCGTTAATTTGTGTTCAATCGTCGACATAGGAATCCGATTTCTACTTTATCCGCTTTTTCCAAGAACACTTGATGAGCTGTATTATTGAGTTACAGCACGAGATTGGGTCTCTGATCTTGGAATGATAGAATATAAGATTTTCTGCTTGGTGTATTATAAATTTAAAAAGTATATTAATTGTTGATCCGGAGAAAGAAATTTTTATATGATTCATCATAGTAACGTTATTAAATGATAATTGCTTCCGAGTACAAGTAATGCAAATTGTACGAATTGTGCAAAATATAATCACTAATATCCTAACCCTTGAATGGCGGACCATGGAGAGAGCTCCAATTTTAACTCAATATCATTTTTCATATTATTTTTATTTTCTAAATTTGACACTGTTCCTTTAAAAATTATTCTTCCAATTTATGGTATTCTCTAATTTAAAAATCATAAATTTAACTTCAGATTAATATCCTTGCATGTGCTTTCTAAGTGTGGGTCTTGATTTACTGGGAATACGCTGTTCAAAGATTAATGCGAGATGTGGCACTGAATATGATGTTACTTTATGGATGTTATTACATCAAAGAATTTATTTTTAAAGAAATATTACATTACACCTTTATCTACTTGTGTCTGACATTTGAATATCAATAATGAGATGAGATGAAGCAAATTGTATATTTAAAAACTACCTTTCCAATGAGTATCGCAAAAGACGTTTCTATCACTGGGAGTACTGTCTTACGTATCACTCCATCACTGTCTGTAGTGTCTGAGCAGATTAATTCCACAAAATTTGCACTGTACAGCCAGAGAATAGGAATCTTCGGTGTTCCACGTGTCTGTGATTTCATTTGCTACCTATTTTTACCAATGAATTGCAGGCCCGTGTCTAAAACAAGATATGTACCATGTGTTGAACGAGTAGTTAGCAAATAATAGCTACGATGGAGGTGAGATTTTCAAATAACGATCTGTTGTTAGGATCCAATGGATTCGCGTTCATTTGCAATTTATACACAAGACGGTATACATTTACAAAAAAGAACAGCCTGATTTGCAAATTTATTATACAAGGTGTCTCAGCAAAAAGGGACCATCTAAATATTTTCATCTTTCATGGCATTGAAAATAATCAGGATACAATTTGAATTTTGAAAAAAAAAAAGAATTTTGTTGGTTGAGTTAGATAGGACACCCCGGATGTAATTATCGGCTGGTAATTAATTAGCGACGGATCGATCACTTCGAAGATTATTCTCAGGAAATCGATCGCTCTTCATGCTAGAGGTAAATTTTCCTCGAATAATTTAGTAGAAACAGATGAGTAAGGTTGTTGATCATATCGTTACGTCATTCTTCTAAGAAGAACTTTCGGATTACGTATTCTTGCGAGAAAGTTTGACTAATACATACTGCGTTTCAGAGTTTAGTGCATTTACTGTTATCAATCAAAAGTCCATAAAAAGTTATAGTACTTTAGTTTTCAATAAAGCATTGCAAATGGTAACTTTTGCATAATTTTACTGCAACATGACCTTTAGCTGTTATTTTGATTTTTTTTTATCAAACTTTGCTGTTACCAAAAACTTTAAATTTCATACTGCGTGAAATATGTTAATAATTTTCACTTGGAATGATTTGATAAATAATATCAGTGAATTATTTACAAAGAGTTAATAAATATTCAGCGATATCGAAGAATGATTCAATAAATTCAAAAATTTAAACATAAACTTATACATATTCAATATAAGAGTGATGGATGTAACAATATGTCATTTTTAATTTGTATCTCTGTCATTGTTCCTTCGCTGCAATTTTTCATTTAGAAAGCGTAATATTGAGCTAAAGGTCAATTCTTGATATTCTTATAAAATTTTCATTTCATTCAGTTTCATTTTTTTCATTACACCCCAACAGTCGTCAGATATATTTACAACCTGCATTCTCATTTTATTCTACATGTTTTCAACTTGATTTCAAAAAAATGTTATTACTAATTGTTCATAAAACCATAAATTTCCTCTCTAATTTACCTATGTAAATGTCAAAATCCCATTGGCGCGAAAAAGTTGAAGTTATGCGCGTGGGATCAATGTAAAAACTACTAACAATAAGTCAGGATTTTATTTCATCCTCTTTTCAATCAGATATCCTCTTTTGATATTCCTTGCGGAAAAGTATTTCATTTTTTATTGCAAACGGATTTATTTCCTGTTCTTTTGAAAATGTTTTTTCTTTTCGAATCGTTCTATTTCCAGAGGCAACCCTTGGAATTTTGTTGCCCCGTGAATAATTGAACGACATCGTGAAACGCTCAAATATTGCATTTTTCGTGCAATTATATAAAACTTATTTCAATAAATGCAAATTCTTGAAATTAAACAAAGAGATTATCGTAATTAAAAGGCCGTAGTTGTTAGTGAAAACGTTTTATTAAACTCTGGAAGTTACAATAGCGGTAGAGTTTTTGTGTTATTCACGATTTTTGTTTACTGTAGAATCACATACAAGGTTACAGTACTTGAGGTCCTCCGTGCGTAATAATCGCGACACGTTTCTCTGCATACCTTCAATCTCGTCGTAATTCCGTGTACAGTTTCTC